ACACTCTTTCAACAATCAAACTGGCCACAGTCGTCTACTTCAAAACAAGACAGACATTTGGGAGAAAAGGAAGATGAACTTCATTCTACCCTAAAAAGAGAGAGTTCTTCGCATGCGTGCTTTTTGTTGAAGTACAAAGACTAACCTTGAGCTGAAGCTGACCATTTTCTGGAAGTCTTTCAAATAAGTAGTAAATTCTCTCCCTGGGGGTATCTTTATCTTCTGCTGACAGAACAGCACTAGAAATTATACGACTTTCACCCATGTTCACCTCTATATCATCGTTCCTGCAAAAATTAAAAGTCATGTATTGATGCAATAAAAGAAAAGTAACCTTTCCAACACGTAATTTCTCTGCCAGGAATATGGATTACCCATATGCTGACAGAAATGACAACTGCAGAAAGAATGGAAGGAGGGTGCCTATTTCAGTTCAAAACAGAAAAAAAGCAAACAGGGTAGACCAGCTTCTCCTTACAATGGTGAAAAACAACAAAACAGATACCTACAACAACCTGGGATTTACCACATCTGTCTTCTTCCCCTGGGCCCTATTCCGCTTACCTTCATACAATTTATAAGAAGAGGACAATGTAAAAAAAAATTATATGTTACTGCTACTATAGAGCACAGCAATACTGGCTCTAATGAACTGATTGTTCATTAGAGAAAAGAGACTGGCTTTCAAATGACTAGTCTGTCACTGCTTGCCTTAAACTTCAAGAGACACTACAAAGACCTAACTGGCTTCTTCTCTGTGCTCCCCATTGCAGAATTTTCCTGGGTTCTTGATTCAGAGAAGTAGGTTAAGGCCAACTGTTCTTTGGCAGAAATGGCCATCACTAGCCACAAATAAAATCTGAGGCAGCTCTGGCAGAAAATCCCACATAGTTTGAAACTCATGCAGAGTCTTGCTCCAGGATGATTCTCAGATCTTGTCTCCTCTGTTTCCATTCTCAGCTAGTAACTATCCTCCAATTTGCCTCTGCACACCCTGCTTTATCATTTTGCTGTTAGCTGTCTTACATTTTCGCAATGTAGCACCCAAACAGTATTATTAGACTATATAAAAGTTTCAAGGAGTTTGGAGGGGATTCAGCATATTCAGTCACCCCAGGGAAGGGACTTGCTCAAGCTAATCTGCCCAGAGGCCATGGAGCAGGTTGGAAAAGGACGGATTGCTTAGGCATTTGGCAGCTGAGCTCTGGCTGGATACAACTGAGCATGTGCAAGCCGTGCTATTTCAAAGGCCAAATAGAAATAGATTTTTACAAGAATTGCTAGACACATTCTTCATATAACAGCCCTTTCCTTTGCCAAGCTGCAAGTGCCTGCTCCAAAGCAGAATGACAACTGAGATTTTCAAAGAAGAAGTTGTCACAATTATTTAGTGATTTTGGAAAATACATTTATTATTCTCAGAAAGAGTGGAGATTTTTTTCCTGAAGTTTCATATTCAAATTAATATGGATATGAGGCATAGAAATATCATGTTTGGCAAAATGAGAAGCAAAGAAAATGGAATCATCTGATAAAGTATATCAAGTCATATTAATGACAGCTCAAGCAACCTTAATGATTTGCTCATACCAGCAATAAACATGCTGGGACTATGCAAACAGAAAGACCATGTGTCTGACCCAAAGACTGTATAAGCCAGGAAGAGAAGATTCAAACAAAAAAATAAGTGAAGACAAACGTGTTTAGCTACATCCTGAATGCTGTCTAACCCCAACTCATTTTTCTGCATAGCAGTTAGTTGATTAAGTCCTTCTAGCACCCACGTTTCATCTTAAGAAGAGGCTTTCCAGGGGAATGTGTGAGGGCCTTACATTCCCCAAGGGCACTCCTTGCTACAGGACTGTGAATAACAAAATCCCCAGGATATATCAGTGGAGAAAATTTTAGCAGCAGTAAGAGCTTCATTGCAACTATCCAAGCTTGAAAAGAACAAATTTATAGTAAGATCCTCCTAAATAGTATGCAACCATGTAATGATATCTCTGACATATTTTATATTAATTCTTTGCTGCAAATAAATATATCCAGAAATACTAAATTTGGGGCTTTTTTTTCTTTTGCTCTGACTTTCACCTAACTATCTCAATCTGAAGCAAGAAGGCGCTAAGAAATATAGAAACTAGTTACTTGTATCGTTCCAAGTTTGACTGTATTTCACTGACTTCTCTTGTGGCAACACAGAGAAGGTTGAGGACAAATTATTTAATAATGATCTTAGCTAAAGAGACTATAAAAGAGACTATAAAAGAGACTATTAACATTTGTTAATACAGGAAGCTCTACATGGTAAACAAAACATTCAAAATTCTCTGCAATGGGAAATGTAGGTCTGATCTGAAGGCCTACCAAATATCCTGAGGGATCAGAAATTCCTGTTTTAGTGGCAGCCTGCTTAACAGGCTGCAAGTCATTTTCAAAATGCAAACTTTAGAGGTTCAGAGCTATACCCCCAAAACCTCCGGGCCCCCAGCTCCCCATCTGCCTGCCTGGGGCTGAAAAGTAGTCAGAAGGTGGAGGCCCTGATGTTCTGTGGCAGGTTGTCAGCTAAAAAATGGAGATCCCAAGGGACAAGTTCCCTGTTAAAATATCCAGGAGGTTCGGCTCTCTCACAGCCAGCTGCCTGTCTGCAAACGGTCTGCCAGGAAATTTCTGACCACGTTTAATTCATTTATGACTCCTAGTTTTGAACTGTAAGGGAAGTTAGCATGTACCTTTTCAGAAGGTGAATTATGGCTGAGGAATAGGGTTTTATAATAGAAAGAAAGAGAATCATTAAGCTGAAAGGCTTGCCCCCATGACACAAGGAGGCATCAACCTTGTGGATCCTCTCATGCCAAAATCCAGAGCTGCTTTCAGAGAGGCGATGCCCCAGGGAAGGGGAAAGCAAAGTAAACTGCAATCAATACCATGATGATCAGTGGCCAGCAGAGGTGTGCAAAAATCAGGGCTCTCTGGCAAACATCTTGAATTAAGCTGTGAAAGACAAAACAAGCATGTGTCCCCCCCTCCCCTTTTTTTCTCTATTCTTTTAGTATTGAGCACATTAAAGCATGCCCTTCTTTCACTAAAAATATTTTTATTAAAAATGATAGAGACACACATGGAAACATCTGTATTGACATTAGTCTGTGGCTAGTTATGACATCCTCTCCCCATCAGTCACCAATCTGCTGTTTTGATCAGGTTTGGATCATTTTGTCTCAACTAATCCCTCTGTCAGAGACAGGAACATGTGGCTTACTTGCGCAGCACTGGTTTCTCATCATTAACTGGAATGACCTTTACTGAAATGGTTCTGAGGACTTTATGTTTCCCATCTGATAGCTGGATTTTAAAGCTGTCAGTGAGGTTTTCCGAATTGTCATGCATGTACATCAGCTTCATTCCTATGCGGGAGGGGGTAGGGAGGGGGGGGTGGG